GTGCAAATGTAAGGATATTCAAGTCTTAGGGAAAACATCTAGTGTATAAGTATTGAACGGAAATATTATGATAAAAAATGTACAAAAATGCATACCAAACAAGCGTATACGAAAATAATTAAGTAAGTACAAATGCATTGATATTTAGGTCTTAAAGATAACACCTAGTATATAAGTATAGAACGAAAATATAATAATAATAAATATGCAATATTCAATATAACTATATAAACTAACAAAATAAGCATACATAAAAATAATAAAGTGAGGCACTCTCGAGTGAAAATGTACGGATATTCAGGTCTTAGGCTTAATACCTAGTGTATAAGTATATAACTGAAATATAATGGCAATGAACTACAATATACGTACAAAATAAGGGTATATATGCGTACAAAATAAGGATATAATTAAGTAAGGCTCCCCAAGTTTCAAATGTATACAGATATTCAGGTCTTAGGGATAACACCTAGCATTTAAGTTTACTGAACTGAAATATGATAATAATGAACATGCAATATACAAAATGCGTACAAAATATAAGCGTATAATTAAGTAAAGCACCCCTGAGTGCAAATGAAGGATATTCAGGTCTTAGTTTATAAGTATATAACTGAAATATAATAATGGCCACGCAATATCAAAATAAATATATAAATACATATTGTATATATATAGAGATATATATATTAGATAGATAAATTTTCAATAAACTCTAACTTTGATATTATTTTCAGGTCATATTATCGTCCTATTACTACAAGCCTGAATGCTAAGCTTGGATAAAAAAAGCATCTAAGAATTCTCCTTATAATACAAAAGATAAGTGAATGAAGATGCTGCAAAGGTAGGATTTTTTTATTGTATCTTATCTATCTATTATTTATAAGTCAGAAATATGATAATGACCATGCGATATAGAAAATAACTATATACAAAAATAAGCATTACCAAAATAATTAAGTAGTCGAGTGAAATGTACGGATTTGCAAGTGTTAGGGATAAGACCTAGTATATAAGTATATAACCAAAATATAATAGTGGCCAAGCGATATAGAAAATAACAATATACGAAATAAGCATATACCAAAATAATTAAGTAGTCGAGTGAAATGTACGGATTGAAGTGTTAGGGATAAGACCTAGTATATAAGTATATAACCAAAATATAATAGTCACCATGCATGCAATAGAAAATAACTATATACAATTAAGCATATAACAAAAATATAACAATAGCCATGCAATATGCAATATGCAATATACAACATACATACGAAACAAACATTTCCAAAAAAATTAAGTAAGGCACTCTAGAGTGCACCTGTAGGGATTTTCAGGTCTTAGTATGTAAGTATAGAACTGAAATATAATAATAATAAATATGCAATATGCAATATAACTGTATAAACTAACAAAATAAGCATACATAAAAATAATAAAGCGAGGCACTCTCGAGTGCTAATGTACGGATATTCAGGTCTTAGGCTTAACACCTAGTGTATAAGTATATAACTGAAATATGATAATAATGAACATGCAATATACAAAATGCGTACAAAATATAAGCGTATAATGAGGTAAGCACTCCGTGCAAATGTATGGATATTCAGGTCTTAGTTTATAAGTATAAAACTGAAATATAATATAACCTAGTATATAAGTATATAACCAAAATATAATAGTGACCAAGCGATATAGAAAATAACTATATACAAAATAAGCATATACCAAAATAATTAAGTAGTCGAGTGAAATGTACGGATTTGCAAGTGTTAGGGATAAGACCTAGCATATAAGTACATAACCAAAATATAATAGTGACCAAGCGATATAGAAAATAACTATATACAAAATAAGCATATACCAAAATAATTAAGTAGTCGAGTGAAATGTACGGATTTGCAAGTGTTAGGGATAAGACCTAGTATATAAGTATATAACCAAAATATAATAGTGACCATGAAATATACAAAATGCATTGCAAAAATAAATACGCCAAGCACTCTTGAGTGCAGCTGTAGGGATTTTCAGGTCTTAGTATATAAGTATAGAATTGAAATATAACAATAATGGCCATGAAATATACAAAATGCATTACAAAAACGGCGTATACAAAAATAAATACGCCAAGCACTCTTGAGTGCACCTGTAGGGATTTTCAGGTCTTAGTATATAAGTATAGAATTGAAATATAACAAAAATGGCCATGAAATATACAAAATGCATTACAAAAAGGGCGTATACAAAAATAAATACGCCAGGCACTTTCGAGTGCACCTGTAGGGATTTTCAGGTCTTAGTATATAAGTATAGAATTGAAATATAATATAATGAATATGTAATATACAAAATGCGTGCAAAACAAGCGTATAATTAGTAGGGCACCCCTGAGTGCAAATGTACGGATATTCAGGTCTTAGTTTAAAGTATAAAACTGAAATATAATAATGGCCATGCAATATACAAAAATAAATAATAAAATACATATATGTATGATATATATAATATATATATATATATATATAATATATAAATTTTCAATAACTCTAATTTTGAATATTATTTCAGGTCATATTATCGTCCTATACTACCAGCCTGAATGCTACAGCTGGATAAAAAAAAGCAGTCTAAGAATTCTCCTTATAATACAAGATAGTGAATGAAGATGCTGCAAAGGTAGGATTTTTTTTTTATTGTATCTTATCTATCTATTATTTTATAAGTCAGAAATATGAATGGACCATGCGATCTAGAATAAACTATATACAAAATAAGCATATACCAAAATAATTAAGTAGTCGAGTGAAATGTACGGATTTGCAAGTGTTAGGGATAAGACCTAGTATATAAGTATATAACCAAAATATAATAGTCACCATGCGATATAGAAAATAACTATATACAAATTAAGCATATAACTGAAATAAACAATAGCCAAGCAATATGCAATATGCAATAACAACATACATACGAAACAAACATTTCCAAAAAAATTAAGTAAGGCACTCTAGAGTGCACCTGTAGGGATTTCAGGTTTTGGGGATAATAGCTAGTATAAACTGAAATCTTACAATGGCCATGCAATATGCAATATGCAATATACAAATATATACGAAACAACACATTTCCAAAAATAATTAAGTAAGGTACTCTAGAGTGCACCTGTAGGGATTTTCAGGTCTTAGTAGTGTTCTTTCTACATGCGGTAAATAACTTTATATTTGTATTTATTTTTATCTTTGTATTTAATTTCAATTTCAAAAGTAATATTCATTAACTTCTCATTCAATTTCAAAATTTAATTTCCTTCTATAAACAGTATTGCCAAGCAAGTTTCAATTCTTCAATGTTGTCCCTTAACATTCCGCATTCTTTGTTGCGTTGAATAATTATTCCGCAATCTAAGTTGTGTGAATGGGGAAGGTGAGATCGGGACCCTGGCGCTAAGTTTTGCTTACCTAATCTCGAACCCTCCCTGGATCATATGGGACCCTGGCGCTAAGTTTTGCTTACCTAATCCTGATCCCTACTGCGAAGGGTTGAAAGCAAGTTTGGCAATTCTTTACTTTTCAATCATGAGTTTCAATATCCTACTTATTTTTTTTTATTTATAACGTTTATTTCGGTGAATGTACACATTTCTCAGTAAATGTCACACTTACCATTTTGTTTTGGTAAATACTTTTACATTCTTTTAAATTATAAAATTAACCTATATAATATAAATAATAAATAATGAACGAAGAGTAAAAATTTCAATATTCAATTATCGATTTTCATTTTCAATTTTTCATTTCAATTTTCAATATTCAGCAGTTCTTAACTGTCTATTCTTAGTCGGCAGTTCTCTTAACTGTCTATTCTTAGTTGGCAGTTCTCTTAACTGTCTATTCTTAGTTGGCAGTTCTCTTAACTGTCTATTCTTAGTTGGCAGTTCTCTTAACTGTCTATTCTTAGTTGGCAGTTCTCTTAACTGTCTATTCTTAGTTGGCAGTTTCTCTTAACTGTCTATTCTTAGTTGGCAGTTCTCTTAACTGTCTATTCTTAGTTGGCAGTTCTCTTAACTGTCTATTCTTAGTTGGCAGTTCTCTTAACTGTCTCTATTCTTAGTTGGCAGTTCTCTTAATGTCTAGTCTAGTTGGCAGTTTCTCTAAATGTCTATTCTTAGTTGGCAGTTCTCTTAACTGTCTATTCTTAGTTGGCAGTTCTTTAACTGTCTATTCTTAGTTGGCAGTTCTCTTACTGTCTATTCTTAGTTGGCAGTTCTCTTAACTGTCTATTCTTAGTTGGCAGTTCTCTTAACTGTCTATTCTTAGTTGGCAGTTCTCTTAACTGTCTATTCTTAGTTGGCAGTTCTTCAAACGTCTATTCTTAGTTGTAAGTTCTTTGTCGGCAGTTCTTAGTCTATTCTTAGTTGTAAGTTCTTGTCGGCAGTTCTTAGCTGTCTATTCTTAGTTGTAAGTTATTAGTCGGCAGTTCTTAGCTGTCTATTCTTAGTTGTAAGTTCTTAGTCGGCAGTTCTTAGCTGTCTTTTCTTAGTCGGCAGTTCTTAGCTGTCAGTTTGTAGTTGTAAGTTCTTAGTTTTAAGTTCTTAGTTTTAAGTTCTTAGTGATAAGTCAATAGTTAATAGTCATTCATTATATTTTTTTTAGTTGCAATATCTGTTAGAACTGCTGAATAAAATAAATAGTTATGATCAAGAGTTCAACTCACATTTGTCAAATGAGCCGGTAAATGTAAACATTTCGAGAAGTGTGTACATTCACCAAAATATGCACATTATCGTAACATACATACCAAACGAACATATTCAAAACTAATTATGTAAATTTAAATGTTCAGTTATTAGCCGCTGTGAACACTACACTATTTTTTGA